TAATATAGATTCTTCAGCAAATTCACTTATACTGGATTTTATAACAATGTTCTCACGAGACCAAATACCACCAATTGACAATCTTGTAAGCAATCCTGCTGAACCTTCAACTGTAAACGTCGATGGTAACATTCCACGAAGGTCATCTATTGACATCTTTGAGTCACTGAATTTAAAGATTTTCTTAAAGCAAGCGTCATTATCTAACCATGCAATAGCTTTGAAGTTTTCATTCGAATATACATCTGCTTCATTAAATGTAAAACCTGACTTCTTTGCAGAGACGACTTTAAAATCTATTGAGTTTGTTTCAAAATTATATGCTATGGTAACTTCTGAAGGTAATGGATGTCCTTCCACAGTCAGTTGTTCTCTCACTACCGTTTGAAGCTTTGTGTTAAAAACTTTCATGTCATCTCCTGTGTCTAGGTTCACATACACAGCAACAGGAAAACTATCTTGCTTCTTTGTTTCATCATTATACCTCAAAACATTAAAGTTCTTCAATAATATTGTTCTTCCTGCTGGAATACTTCTAACTTGTCTTATTTCAATAGCTTTCTCACCTCCTACATACTCTACCCAGTGTCTTGGATATTCATAAGTATACTGACTTTCTTGAATTTTGGTAGGTTTCATCATAACGTGTTCATAGTATATCTTTATACTCTTGTCAGTTAGACTCGGTGCTATGTTCTGAATATTTCTGACTTGCATTTTTAATAAGATTAAAATGAAGCATTTAATACATGACGTAGATGAAGACATGAACGAAACCACAGACAAACTTAACTCTTCTCTCATTCTTCCTTTCAGTAAGGACTATGAGTTCTGTTCAAATGGCGTGTATTTCTATTGTGGAAAGATGGGGTCAGGTAAGACATTTAATCTTATTCGTCATATACTCATAACAGAACGTTTAGGAAATGACTCATATTATGACCAAATCATTATATCAGCAACTTCAGACTCTATGGACTCAACAGCGAAAACATTCATGTCAAAAGTTCAAGCCTCTGTCGTTAAAGTTCCAGACAGTGAGCTCATTGAATTTCTTCAACGTTACATTCGACGTAAGAGAAAATATTATGCTATCGTTGAATTTATACAGTCAGGAATGCAAAAGACTTCAGAAGAGATGGAAAGAATTATTGACAAACATCACTTACGTCAGTACTCAGGAGTTTACGATATGAAACGACTTACAAACTACATTCTGTCAAAACTTTCAAAATACCCCTTCAAAAAATATCCTTCAAATACTTTGTTAGTTTGCGACGACTTCGCTGGAAAAGGTTTAGTTTCAAAGCCTGACTCACCATTAGCTAACATCATAACTAAAGTCAGACATTACCATTTAACTGTAGCAATACTAATGCAGACGTGGAGGTTTTTAGCTTTAAACATAAAACGTCTCATAACTGACTTCGTTATCTTTCAAGGTTTCTCACGTTATGACATTGAACTCATATGGAAACAGTCAGGTATAACATTACCTTTTGAAGAAATTTGGGAAGCATATAAGTCTCTCATCTCTCCTCGTTCATACCTTGAGATTCATATCATGACTAATACCATTAAAGTCAAAAATATTCCATGGGAACGACCAACATTGTTTTAAAGTTTAACCTTCAATTGACTGATGGTAAACAAATTCCATGCATCTCTGTCGCCATTTCTGTTAATATTTTTGCTGTCATTCATATCATCCACTTCTCCATCCGTTAGCTTTTGAGGATATGCGTTAGAATAGCTGTTCTTAAATGAAGGCTTTTCACCTTTGAGAGCATAAACTCTATAACTTTCTGCATACTTTATGTTTGAACCTCCTGAGCCATCATTGACATAAATTTTTATAGGCTTCCACCCTTTGTTCATGTTCCTGCTTCTTCCCTTAGCTCTTTTGTTCAGTAGTTCTACATCTTTATACACAGCACCTGTCTCAGTGAATTCAACAATATTTTCATTCGTTAGCTTTACATTCAAACCCTTGTCGAGTATATTGTTCATTTCATACATATAAAAGGTTTTTATTCTATATGAAATGAGAAGCAAATCCATCTTAGCTGGTGCCGTTATTGTTCCAATTGAACCAACATCAAATGTTGACTCACGAACGACAAACAATATTGTCATAAAGAACTATAGTTCGGAGTGTTTGAAAGAAAAAGAACCAGATCTTAAGTCGGTGAATTTAAACTCAGCTTCAAACGCTAACGCTACATCAGATGTTAAGTTAGAGTATCCACCATTAGACCAAATTCTTTCAAGAGAAGCCAACGACAACCCTTACACAAATGTTCAAACAAATCCTTCAGATAACGTAGACCATTACCTTCTTCAGTTATACCAAACTATCTTACTCAAAGACGATAAGAAGCTTTTGACAAATCTTATAAGCAAGAACCAAATAATTCTAACAAAGGAGGACCTTGAAAATGTTATATCACGAATAACAGGAAAACAATGTGTCATTGACTATCTCGACCCTGAAATCGAATGCTGTGGTCAAACTCCACTATTCATGAAAATAGGTAACATCCGCATCATTGAAACACCAGGAACTACAGGAGTTGAGTTTAAGTATAAATATTCGAACGAGTATACAAAACTATCTACTGACTATAAGCGTTGTTTGAAATATGTTTTAGTAAATTAAAGCAGTCAGGACCTTCGGTCTTGGCGCTTTGCGCCGTCAGTCAAAAAATTTCAAGTTAGCAATTTGTAATATCTATCCAAAACTTCTTCAACAGTATCGAACTCATCTTCATAATGCAAACCTAATCTTATTGACTTGGTGCAGTTTTCACTAACACAATATTTTTCTGTTCTCTTGACTGACATAACTAACTCATTTGTTTCATCAAACAGCAACAACCAAAGTTCATGACCTAATACATAACATTCATACTTTATATTTTTAGCTCTGAGTTCTCTTGTAAGCTGTTGCATTTAATATTTTCTAAAAAGTCAACTTCAACAGTCATTCGCACTGGTGCCTTCAGTTCTACAGGCTCTCCTTGAAAGTCAACTAGTCTGAATTGCATGTCTTTCAAATTATGAGGACTAATGTGAACCCATTTACCTAAATGAGTTGCTATGACAGGAACGTTTGGAATGAACATTGAATTGACTGCATAACAGAAGGATTTATATTCTACTGAACCTTTACTATTAACTCCTGAAATGCCTGTGACATTAGCTATTTTAGACTCAATGTATAAACAATTACCATAACATACGTATGGAACAGATTTCATCTCAATCGTTTTGTCAACACTTTTCAAAGGAAATGTCATATGATATGCTCCCAGAAGCAATTGAACTCTATGACTCATTCGTGTTATCTTGAACTCTTTCTCGCTGCTGAACTTCAATGTTCCCTCAGAAGAGAGTTCGACATCTATGTTGTCAATAGTTTCTTCATTTATGAGAGTATCTATGACTCCAGCAATTTTATCTATTCTATACCCAGCTCTGTTAGGAAATGTTATAACACTTCTTTTGTCATCTATTTCAATCTCTATGAAATCTGTTTCATCTGTTATGACAAAAGTTGCGATAGTATTGAAGTCAACAACTCTGAAAGCAAGCGCTTCATTCTGAAGACCTAAGTTTGTTTGTAGCTTTACTGTCCCGTATTCGTTTGGGTCTGTACTTTGCAAATAGAACAACATTTTATTCTCATTAAAATATGACTATTGCTGCATATGCGTATGAAACAAATGAAGCAAGAAGAGCACTTGAACTAGTAAACGAAAACTCAACTTTAACCATTGAAGGCAACAATTTAGTCATTGACGATGGAAAAACTAAAAAAGTCATTGATTTCGATACTTTTAACACGTATGACCCATTCATTACAACAAGTAAAGTTCCTATCATAAATGATGGAACGGTGCAATATATAAATTCTACAGTAGATGCCTCATTAGTGAAAGTATTAAATGTTCTCATTGAATTGTTAAAGAGCTTTCGATTTGACGACAACATTAAATGCCTAAAGAATTTAGTCATGAATGAGAAACAAATTCTCGGCGTTGCTGGTAGCAGTAATGATGTACACCTTATGACATTAGAATATTATAACGAACATAAAGATGAACTGAAAGGAGAGAAGGGTGACACTGGACCACAAGGAATACAAGGAATACAAGGACCTCAAGGCGAAAACGGTTTGGATGGTGAAGATGGAAAGGATGGGAAAACTGCTAAATCATGGATATGGAACCTTATAAATACTGGTTTAACAGCTGCTTCATATGGAGTTCTTCAATACCAAATCGGAAAGATATGGGCAGTACTTGGTGAAGAAGCTTTAGATGACGTTAAAAATGCTTTGAACTTCATTTCAAATGGTTCGGATACTATTAAAACTTTATCTGGTTGGATGCAAGAAACAAGGAGTCAAATAGATACTGTAAGACGTATAGCAAACAATGCACGTACAGGATTGGATACTTTACGAGAAGCACAAAATACACTAAAGGAAGCAAATGATATTCTTGGCTCAGTATCAGACATGCATGAAGATTGGCTTAAAGGTATTGACAAATCTTTAAAAAATCACAGTCAGTCTATTGCTGACTACAAGAAAAGTATAGATTTTTTACATAGTGCTATGGACGTACATGATGGAAGCATAAGGAACTTACTTAATGCTAACAATAACTTACCAGAAACTATTAAAGCATTTATAAAGTCCTTTGTAAAACCTGGTGCTCTAACATTTAGGTCTTTGAGAGCAAGAGCATTGAAGTCAAGAGATGCAGAAACTCCAACAGAACCTACAGAAGGAACTGAAACAACAGAAACTCCAAAGAACCACCAAAACCAACGCTAATGAAATATTGTTCGAATATTTTCCAAGGTACTCTGTTCTCATTGCATACATTCAAGAAATACTTAAGAAAGCAGACTTGACTTTAGGAGATGATGAAAGTTCTGTATATCTTTCGTTCCAGTTTCAAATAGCAGAACTTTTGAGACAGATATGCTTAATGTATGACAACATCTCTGATTTCACAAGATATGATGACGACCATGACCCCGAACACGGTGAAGAAGAAGTTTTACAAACATCCATTAAGACAGGAAAGGTTTTAACACAAAGTCTCATTATTGACACCAAAGATGGCGAAGTGGACGTTCTTCAAGAGCTGAAGAAAAATACTTCTTCGGGAGGTGGTGGTAGGCATGAACTTGAAATAAATGAGATAGAAGAGAAATTAGCCGAAAAAGCAGATAAAAACCATGTTCATTATATAAGTTCAGACGAACAGATTATAACGGATTATCATGGATATTTAACACAGGATGAAGAAGTGAAGACGAAAGATGTTAATGAAAGAAGATATAAATTTATTCGTGCTAAAGGTTATGACATACACTGTACTGTACAGTATGACACGGGTAAAGCACCAGAAGCATTTGGTTATAACAATGAAATTTATGCTTCATACTTCTTTGTTAACGGTGTATTAGTTGAACCAAGATTTACATTGAGAGTTAAGGCAAAAATAACTTTTGAAGATGCTATTAAAAGTAAAGCTGACAAAGATGAACTTGACGCAATGAACAAAGTTTTGAAATCTCATAAACACAATATCTCCGATATAAATGAACTTCAAGCTACATTAAATAGTAAAGCTGAAAAGAACTATACACATAAATCCTTCACTACTGTTAGAGCAGACGACATAATATTGAACTATACCCTTGGTTCAAGTGCACCTTTAGAGAATCCAAGTACAAGCGTAAAAGATACTCTTAACAATTTAGATAACAGATGTATGAACATTGAAGGTCATGCCAGAAACTTTGAAGCATATGAACTACCAACAATGTTAGATAAGAAAGCCGACAAAACAGAGCTTCAAACATTAAAGACTCAGATTCTTGAAACCATATATCCTATAGGCTCTATTTATACGTCAATGAACTCAACAAATCCAGCAAGTGTTTTAGGTTTCGGTACATGGAAGCAGATTGTAGACAAATTCTTATATTGTACTAATAGTTCAAAACAAGCCGGTGGTTCAAAGAAAATTAAAGAAGCAAACTTACCTGCGCACACTCATACAGGAACTACAAACTTTTCTGGCGACCATAGCCACTCATTAAGAGACCACCCATTATACAACTCAGACTATGAAGCTGGCAATGACGTTTTATCTCCATCTTATAACAATTCAGCAAAAAAGACTTTTCGACCAACTGAACCAGGAGGAAATCATGTCCATACTTTCACAACAAATCCAACAGGCTTGGGTAAAGATTATATGCCACCATTTGTGACTGTATTCGCATGGTACCGCGTTCAATGAACGCGCTTGAGCCTAGACCCTTTGGGTCAAGGCTTACCGTCTTGAATAAAATCTTTAACTTTACATAAATGAGCTTGAAAGAAGTATTCGAATCATCACCGTGGAGGTCATTTAAGAAGTTCAATGAAGCTGCAAAAAGTTGGGGATTTACTAACAGAGCTGAAGTGAAAAGGTTCTTTGACAAAAATGTTGTACATCAAACAAAAATAAACCCTTACGACTACTTTTTACCAATTTACTCCAACACTCCTGACGCATACCAATTTGACACTCTCATTCAAAGCAGAAAAGGAGGACATAAACCATTCCTCATCTTCATTAATGTTAACACTCGTAAAGCTTTTGCATATCCAATGAAAAATAAAGGAACTCGTGAAGTGTTAAGAGTTTTACAAAAGTTTGTAGCAGAACATAGCCCAAGTACTTTAACATCAGACCAAGACAGTGCATACCTCAGCAATGAAATCACAGATTTTCTCATTAAGCATAACATAACTCACTTCACTACTGAAGACCATAACCATAACATACTCGGCATCATAAACCGCTTCATAAGGACTCTCAGAGATTTAAATCAAGAGCGAGACTTTACCGAAGAAACAATGAAACATTTTCTCGAAGTATATAATTCCTCAACACATTCTACAACAGGACATACACCAAATTCAATGACACAACAACAAGAAGAAAAGTATATACAAAAGAAACGAAGTCAAACACAAAATATCAGAAATTCAACACAATTTACCCTCATTTCTGGTACAAAAGTTCGTGTAGTTCTTGACGACAAACCGTTGACAAAGAAACGTTTAAGGTTAAGTAGAAACTATTATATCGTAGACTCTACGCAAGGTAATGGATATCTTATAAAAGCTGCCGACGACTCTATTGCGTTTTATCCTCGTCATAAATTAGTTGAAAGTAGTAATGGCAAACTTGCTGAAACCATTGACGAAGCAAAGCGAGGAGTGGTTATTGAAATACTTGGCTATAACATAAACGATGACACTTATAAAGTAAGATATGAAGGAGGCGTTGAAGATGTTATACCATCTAAGAACTTGAGAGAGTCAAAGCCAACACATCTGGGACCATTAGAGCGGGAGTACTGGAAAGACAAAAATATGCCAGAAAGAATAAGAAAATTCTTCTAAACTTTTTCATTAGATGTAAATCAGACAAAAATAATGTTTAGGTGAAGAGGTGAGATTTCACCTCTTTTTTCACCCTCGTGAATTTTCATGAATTTCCTTAAGATAGAAAAAATAAAGTTAGTTTTATTTTTATTTATTTTTTTATTTTGTATAAAAGATATGATTTCAACAATCGGTACAACAACAATTCAAGCTGCGAACGGCGGGACTCTGTCCACAACTACAGCATCAAACTCGTTAGTCATGAATCCTACGTCAATGTTGGTAGAGATGAAAAGCTTTATTCCTTCTTCATATACTTTTGAAACAGAAATCCAGAAGATAAAGCAAGAACTTTTAACAAGTAATTTAAACTGTACCGCACAGGTTGAAACAAATGAAGAATATCTTTATGACATGCAGGACCTCATCGACCATTTGCCTAAACTACCTGAAGTTCAGCAGCAAAAACTAACTATTCCTGAATTCGACGAAATTGAAGTCAAAGCAACTGACTCAGTAGAAATAAAGAAGTTCATACGAAAGGTAAATTATGAATTCCTTGGTTTTCATTGCAACCATAAAGTTATGGACAAAGATTGCGATATGGTTTATAAGAACATCTCTGACATATATAAATCTGGGGAGTTTAAGACATACGATAACTTTGTTACATTAGTTGCAAAATGTGTTTGGCAGATAAGAGATAAAGATAAAAGAGGCAAAGTATGGAACGAACAAATAAAACCAGCAGCTTTTGAGTTAAAGAAAACCATTGACGCCTTGGTTGTTTTAGCTGGTAATGTTTCAATGTATAACGCAAAAACGATGCCGCAATGTTCAAAATGTAAAGCAGCAATAAGAAAATATAACTACTCAGTCAAAGAGATAGAAAGAATGCGAAACGACTATGCAGACTTAAAGAAAGAAGCAGAAAAGCCAGCAGAAGATAAAATGGATATGTTGACATTTCTTAATAAAAACTATCCAACAGCAGAAGATTTCCTTCTGTCTGACGTCAAGAAGAAATATAAAGAGACTTTCGGCATGATTAAAACATTCGATGTACTAAAAGAAGAAATAGAAGCTACGAAATTGTTTAGGATTTCAAATATACATCGTACAATTCATGTAAAACGCTTGTGAAAAAAACAGGTGAAAAAAGAGGTGAGATCTCACCTCTTCACCTAAACATTATTTTTGCTGAAAAATGACCAAATTTCATGAATTTTCATAAAAGATAAAAATAACACTAGTTTTTATTTTTTCTAATTTTTTATCTTGTATGTAAAGACAGTAATGTCAACATTAGAGAACACAACAATTGCTATCGTTCATGAAGCCATAAATGAAGAATACGAATACATACAGTATAACAAACAATTGAGACTCATTCGTTCAGTCAAAGATGACATGTACCAGATGCAAAGTATAATGAACGCTCTTCGTTCTACAAAGCAAGCATATCATTGGTTTGAAAACCAACAGACAAAAGAACTTTTAGAAGAATTTCCTCATATGATTGCTTCCCTCGGAAAACCGAGAGAAGAGATTCCGTACGAAAATCGCAAGAATTTGGCTCCTGGTTTGAAAGGTTATTATGTTCATAGACTTTTAGTAAACGCTGTAGCAATGTGGACTTCACCTCGTTATGCTTGTTATATTTTCATGATGTTAGATGAACTATATAAAGCAGAACGTGGACAGATGGAAAAGAAACTTCAAGCAAAAGATGAAGTCATTGAATCCAAAGACAAAAGCATACAGAAAAGAATATCGCGTTCAGTACCAAAAGGAAAGGAAAAGAGTTATAAGTATATGATATATACTGAAGAGTTGGAGAAAGAAGAAGATAAAGATATGGTTATGTTACATTTAGTCAGAAGAAACAACAAGAGCTTTTATGACTTAGCTAAGATATATAAATCTGACAGAAACTGGTTCTATCGTGAAAACTTACCGATTTCAATGACACCGAATGAACAAATAAAGGAAATTGTCAAAAATACTCTTCCTCAAACGCACTATGACATCAAAGGTTGTACAATACTTACATTCAAAGAAGACTTAACATTACTGAAGGAAAAAATAACAGAATATTTCAATAACTTCAAAGAGGAAGAATGAAAAAAAATCTCGTCGGGTGCCACGTTAGGACCATAGTGGAGAAAACCATGATAAAAACAAAACACTCCGTCAAGTTTATTTTGTTTTTACCATTTAATTGTTTCCATAAATGCTCCACGTCGATCATAATCGACGAAGAGAGAATCGTCTGATCGTCAAGTTTATTTTGCTTTTACCATTTAATTGTTTCCATAAATGCTCCACGTCGATCATAATCGACGAAGAGAGAATCATCTGATCGTCAAGTTTATTTTGTTTTTACCATTTAATTGTTTCCATAAATGCTCCACGTCGATCATAATCGACGAAGAGAGAACCGTCTGATCGTCAAGTTTATTAGTTAACGGGAGGATTAGATATATTCCATCACAACTGAAAACATTCGTGAAAACATTAACGTAAACATTTGTTTCCAGGACTGTTGTCAAAATGTCATGTTGTCAGTAATTTTAAGAGAAGTTAATTAACCTGGTGACACATGGTGACGTAGTGACACCTTCAGTTCTTCAAAAATATATTTTTGCTTAAATAGCTTCAGGGTCTATTTCTTCAACCATTTCACTTCCTTCGTCAATGTCAATAGAAGCTTCTTCAACCTTTGGTAAGAATTTCTGTATAACATCTTTGTTCGTTATTGTCTTCAGAGATGAAGGATAATATTTCACATTTGTTTCACCTTTCTTATATTCTTTCTGTTCGGAAAGATTTAAAGCAATACTGAAGAAGTCAACGTTAGAGTTCTTTATGACAGTATAATGAGTATCTTTGACATTCATGAAGAAACTCTTTTGTTTCAAAACTACTGCTAACTCTTGTGAAGTATAACGTTTGCGGTCAATGACGATAGCTAATGGTCTGACATACTGACCAAACTTAGATTCTTTCACAAACTTCTTGTTAAAGATAACATTAACATTTGAAGCACCATTGAACTCATTCTTGATGGCAGTAGCGAGAGCATTGTATGAAAAGAACTTGCAATCTTGCATGTGTTTCATTAAAATAAAAATATTAAATTATTTTGAAAAATAACTTAAAAAAATCTAATCTAATTTTTTCAAAAAATATTTTTTTATTTCCTACTAAAGATGTATCGGAAGTTGTCTAAGTTAGAACACTCGGAAATAAAACAACTTCTTACAGAAGCTAATATAGATGTTGCAAAGCATTACGCAACAAACAAATAAGCACTCGCTGACATCCTCAATGACTACAATGGTGAAATAAGTTATGATAGAATTCATGAGTTCATAAAGCCGCAACGCGGCGAGGACGAAGTCCATGCAAGAGCATTTCCTTTAAATGACGTTGCTATTGACTTATATCATAGACGTTCAGTACCTCATGAAGTAAGAAGAGAAATGTATGACATAACAAATGCAAACGTTGGTAAAACACGAAAGAGAGACGACACACTGAAACAACAGAGAAGAGAGATGTTTAAGAGCGCTATAGAACAAGTTCGCAAAGCTAATGATGTCATTCGTTCCATTGACGACAAACCAAAAGAAGGTGAGAGATGGTTAAAGAAAGATGAAGAGAATAGGAAGAGGAATGTTAAGACAGGCAATAGACTCATTGACTTTAACATCGAAGCTTTAGATGAACCAAACAGAGACTACTTACACAAACATTTCGGTAAGGTTTTCATGAGACTCTTAGAGAAAATTAAAATAAACTCACAACAGAGATGGATGGTATGTTATAAACTTGGTGGAAAGTATGAATGTTCTACGTTAAACCTCAATAATATTGGAACATTACTACATCAGCTCTTGAAGGAGAACTTTATATCAGAGATAGAAGCAAATGCTGCAGGTATTGTTGAAATGCACTATGACTTCTTCTTGACAAACATAAAGAATCTTACTGAAATAAAGATGTATGATTTAACAGAATATGAAGGCTTAACGATGTCAGATGTAAAGAAAGGCAAACCAAAAAAGAGACCATATAGAGATGAAAGCACACTGACAAATGACCAGAAAGCCATTTTGGAAGCTCTTAAGCAAACAGGAAACCCAGCACTTATAGAAAGCTTTTGGAAAGATAATGGTGAAAAGAAGTTTTATAAAAAGAGAAGCGGTCAGTTCTGGAAGTATCTTTGCACATTACCTATAAATCTTGAACGCTACCAAATCTTCAATGAATTGAACAAAAGAACTGCAGCACTTATGACAGAGGACAATTGTTTCGTTTATGCTTGCATTCAGGCTGGAGTAAATGAAGAAACTATTGACCACATGAGAGAAGTCATTCGTGTTAGAGACTTTCCTCAAAGTAAAGTACAAGAAATTTCTGACGCAACAGGTATAGCATTTAATGTTGTCATTGGTTATTTCAATGACTCAAGACATAATGAAATAAAGAGATATATACCAAAAGAATGTGAAACTGTTAGAACTATTGACTTACTTCTTGTTGAAGACCACTACATGCTAAATGAAAGATTACCAATGACAACATATTTCATTCGCAACTATATAGAAATCTTGAAGGAGTGTGGTGGAATGAACATTGAGAAACAGATGAAGATTTATACAAAGAGAGAAGATAAATATGTAGTTCGTTATGATAGAACAACACCGTTATGGGATGTTATGAAAACATTGTGGGAGTGCAAATATTTCGAACCTATTTCTTATGGAGAACTTTTCACATATACGACTGACTTATATAAACAGAACCTTGCACCATTTAAAGATTTGACATATGCTCCAAAGTATTGTGTACAACTGAAGAAGAAAGCCGAGTCAAAAGAAGTAAATAAAAATAAGTGCAAGTTCATTCCTGAGCACGTTTTCTTTGCTGACTTTGAGTGCAGTACCGATGGCTTTCATAAAGCTTTTAACATATGTTATGACAGTGAAGATGGTTCAGTGAGTGAAAGCATTTGGGGTCAGAACTGTGCAACAGAATTTTTGGAACGACTTCCTGACAAGAGTTTAATATATTTCCATAACCTCAGTTATGACATAAACTTCATCTTAAGGCACATGACAGAAGTGAAAGGAACTCCCATCATTAAAGGTTCACGAACAATGCAAATAACTGGCTTATATAAAGGAAGGGCAATTATTATAAAAGACTCTTACAGTGTTATAAATAAGAAGCTTAAACTATTTCCTGCTATGTTTAACTTACAAACAGGACCGAAAGAAGTATTTCCATACAACTACTACAGCAGTACTTTGCTCATGAATGATAAGAGAACTGGTGTCATTTCTGAAGCGTGTAAGTTTATCCAGGATGCGGATACATTCATGAAAAACATAGATTTAATCGAAAACTGCAGAATAGATGAGAACCACTTCGATTTAGAAAAGTATAGTACATTCTATTGCAAACAAGATGTAAGAATTTTAAGAGAAGGTTTTGTTAAGTTCAGAAATGATATATTGAAAGAATTTGATTTAAACGTTTATGACTACGTTAGTATTTGTTCAATTGCTAATAAATTATTTGAGAACAGAGTATATTTCCCGAATGGAAATTTATATGACCTCTCAAATAAACCAAGAGAATTTATTTCGAGATGCATTCAAGGTGGAAGATGTATGTTGTCAGATAACATTAAACAAAAGAGCGAAAAGAAACTCATTGCTGACTTCGACGCTGTTTCATTATATCCATCAGCTATAGCAAGACTTTATACTTTAGAAGGAATTCCAAAGGTTATGAAGAAAGAAATGTTAAGCACAGAGTATCTCATGAGACATTTATTCGATGACGACCAAAAGGAACCCATTGGTGAAAAGTTTATGTCTGGCTTCTTTGTTCTCATTAAGATAACAGAGATTGGAATACATAGACACTTTCTTTTAATAGTTTGTGACCCTGAACTAAATCCAGAACTTAACGTTCCCAGAAGTTCAAACACTTGCTGTTTAATGTATGTTGACCATATAACATTACAAGACCTCATAAAATATCAAGGTGTCAAATGTGAAGTGTTGCAAGGATACTATTACGATGGAAACAGAGATATTAGAATAAGAGATGAAGTAAAGAAGTTGTTTGAGTTAAGGTTAAAGTATAAGAAAGAAGGAAATCCTTTGCAAGAAAATATAAAGCTCATTCTGAACAGTATTTATGGCAAAACTATTCTATCTCCTATTGAGTCAAAAATAACCATAGTAAATGACAAAGATGCTATAAGATATGCCATCAGAAACTACAACCATATAGTGAAGTTCGAAGGTTTGGATGGTTCGGATAAAACTATTTTCAAGCTAACGAAAAGCATTTGCAGACACTTTAACTTCTGTCCACTTGGTGTTAACATTCTGTCTATGTCGAAGAGAATAATGTGTGAAGTATTCTGTACTGCTGAGGACTTAGGAATGGACATCTTTTATAGCGATACAGACAGTATGCATCTCTACAATGAAGATATCCCTCGTTTAGCTGAAGAGTTTGAGAAGAGATACGGTAGAGAACTTATTGGTAAAACATTAGGTCAGTTCCATTCTGACTTCGCAGAAATAACACCTGGAAAACAAAGTTTAGCATACAAGTCAATATTTTGTGGAAAGAAGACTTACATAGACTTACTCACTAACGATTTAAATGAAGTTGCATTCCACTGCAGAATGAAATGCGTGAAGCAAGATGTTATTGCTTTAACCGCTAATGAAATGTTTCCTGACTCTGTTCAGTGTTTCTATGATGAAGATAAAGGTTTAATGGTTCCGCATGGAAAATTTGACAAAGACTCTGAGTTCAGTGTTATGAAGTTATATAAAGCACTTTATGACGGTCAAGAGATTGCATTCGACTTATGTAAGTCGTGTCAACCTTGCTTTGCTGAAAAGTTTAACTTTTCTATTCAGACTAAGACTTCATTCATAAGAAAGCTTAAGTTCTGAGGTCATGAATGATAAAAATAATGAGGTCATATATTTTTGTATTCTCTTCGGAATTTACTATAATATATTCTTGTTCGTCTATTCATAATATCTATAGCCATTATATATAACTGACTAGTATTCTTATCTTCTAAGATATTCATCTCTCTATACCTCAAACCATTGAAGAAATAGAAGAGTTCTTGTTCAGGGTCATAGAATAAATCTTCGAACTCATGCTTTCCATATCTTTTAACCTCAATAGCATCTTCAGATATTTCATCTACGTATGTAAAGTCATTTCCTGCATAACTTTTCCTATTTTGAGCATTTGTTCTATTATTTACCCATCTCAAATTTTCAACTCTGTTGTCGGTTTTTATCTGGTTTTGATGGTCTATCTGAGGCAAGTTATCTGGGTTTGGAATCCATTGTTCTGCTATTAGTCTATGCTTTGCTTTTTCAGAACCATTGAGAGATAACTTGACATAACCTTTCTTTGTTATATGTTCACTCACAATTTTTCCTGTAGATTTTTTCCTAATATTGTGTGGATATTCTGTATTAATTTCATAGTCATTGTCTGCAACAAGTGTTTCCCAAACGTCTTCACCTTCCATGCCTTTCACTCAAATAAAAATTTTCAGAAAAAATAAAACTAGCTCAGATTTTATAATATTGCTATGGTAGAGTTTAAGAGTTGAGCTTCAATGTATAAACAATCTTTTCTATCTGGAGGCAAGAACACTGGTGCTTTATGGTCATGAGTTGAGTACATGTCTATCCAAAACTCACGATTGAAACCAGTTAGTTTGTAATATTTAGGATTTGGTAATGGTGAATTTCTTGTATGACCAATGAACTCATTTTCAACTCTTTACTTAGGTTTGAATATAATATTGCTTGTTTTCTATCCCAAATACCTGGAAATCTAATTTCGGAAAAATCATTTTTCCTCGGAAGCATTGCATCATAATTGAAAACATTTTTGAAATCATCACTTGGTTCAGAGATTTGAAATCTTATACGTAATGGATTTTCTTTCTTTTTAGCTACTTCATTGAATGGTGAATATATAACAAACTGACAGTCATGAGTTCCATCTTCATTTTCATTAAATTCATAATGAAAGTCTATAAGTTGTGGCTGACTACCTTCTTCTTTCAGTTGTGCAAGAAACTCACGTAAAGGCTGTAAAGTTTGTACTTCAATGTTGAACTTTTTCTCGAACATCTCATTAAATGAAATCATACATTGCAACAATGTTGTATCGTCTTTAAAGTATTTGTATATGTGAATGTTTTGGGCGCTTAAAGACTGTTCGTCATTTTCTATCTCGACTTGAAGTATAAAGTCAACTTTCCTAAATGCTCTCGTAATGTACATATTTGTTATGCCAATGTACTTCTCTTCATTTCTGTTCACAATCCAGTCTGTTGTAAACTTAAACGTTACTCTGTTCCCCTTTATTTTGACGTCAGGGCCACTAAACGCAACAGATAAAGGTATTTGTCTATACATTTAATTCGGATAAAAATAAACCATTTACTCTTTCTTTGCTTCAGCTTCTTTAGCTTTTGCTTCAGCTTTTAGCTTTTGCTTCAGCTTCTTCTCTAGCTTTTTTCGCCAGTAGTCTTGGGTTCTTTTGTCTTCCAGCAGCTAATGCAGCAAGTTGTTTTTCACTAAGTTTTCTCTTTGGTCTCTCTGGCTTTTGTTCTTGTTTTTGTTCCTTCAGTTCGGATAAAATTTGCTCATGAATTTCTTTCTTCAATGCTTCAACATCTATGACCCTTGGGTCTTGTCCGTAGAGCTTGTCTGAGTCATTTGACTGCAGATAAAAAACAAAATTAAAACTTTAACCGATGTAAAATGAGCTTGTCAAAATCAGAGCGAGAGTCTATTATATTAAATGACGCAAGAGGAATACAACATCCTTTCTATTACGTAAGTCAGAGTAAAGATGGTAAAATATACGTAAGAAAAAGAAAGGTTCCATTAGCGAATGCAGAAAGCGACAACATTAAGGTGCATGGCACCGAGGGCGAAGCCCATGTTAAGCCTTCTATTCAAACTGAAAAGTCAATAGAACCAGAAGAAAAGAAGCCAGATGTACTTTCAATAACGAACCAAGAGCTTATTGCAAAGTTCGTGAATTTCATTGAAAAACAAACCGAGTCAAAGAATCCTGACCGCCAGTGAAAGAAGTTGAGACAAAAGAGAATGTACAGTTCATTGAAAATGTCAAGAAACAACTTCCACCACGAATGCCAAGAAGAAGAGTGAGAATAATGAAGTAAATAGATATTTTTATCCGAAGTAAATACATGCAGAACGAACAGTTAAACGAATTTACTCCAGCAGAGCATATTCATCAGATTCGCTCATATTTCGATATCATAGACAATGCAGTTCAAATTGGTGACACTAATAGAAAATATTCTGACGCAAAGATTCCATCACAACCTGGAACTGCTAAAGATAACACATGGGTAACATTCAATCTCTCACCTCCTGGTGAAAATATGTTGGACCTTTACAATACATTCATTACGTATAAAATGGAAGGTCAATTTATTGTAGATAAAGAAATTGGTTCAGGTTCCAATAAAACAAACCCACCAGGATTTTGGATTGGTTTCGATGACGCTTTCTATGCAGTTGCTGGATATCAAATCCTTGCAAATGGTCGTATCGTATATTCTCAAGACAACGCAAGAGAAGAAGCATATATAACTTCAAACTCACAAACTACCGAACAAATAAAGAAAGTAGATGTTTTCTCAAAGACTCGACATGAAGATGTATGGAGTCATTCGGGAACATGCAGAACAGGACAAATTGTTAGTGGTCCAATTACAGCAGGAAAATCATTTGATTTTAAGCTTCGTTTAAGAATTCCTGTTAGAAGATTCCTTCCATTAGAAGCTATTCGATTTATTCCAGCTTTTGCAGGAAACATTCAGCTTAAAGTAAAGTTCAGTAGCGACGCCTTACAATGCACATCTATATCTGTAAATGATATCATTGCTTTCAATCCAACTCTTAAAGCTGCATTTGCTTCAGATTCAAATCCACCGACAAATAAATTTGTTCCATGGAATGAACCATTCACTATGATAACGAAGTCAGTAGAAGCTAGTGGAACAGTTACTATTACAACTGTAACCCAGCAACTATTTCGAACAAAGATGGATTTTAATGAATGTTTCATTCATCCAAAGTCATTCTCTTTAGACCCTAACATTTATACAGAACTTGTAGAACATTATACAAACGAGGCTTTATGTTTTCCTGTTAAAGTTATGGATTGGATTCCTATGGACGGTTCATTCTCAAAGAATACAGATAGTTCAAGTGCAACATTTACAGCAGCTTATACGCCTATTAATGTTAAAAGTATTTGGGCACTATTTAGAAAGAAAGACAACTATTATGTTAATTTTGAGAACCCTAAGTTTAAATATCTTCAGCTTTCTATGGGAGCTTATGGAAATATGCCTGCAGAACCCGAAAAATCATATGGACCTGTATTTTATGAAATGGTTGCGAACGCCTGCAATACAAACAATGATATGATAGGATTTAATGAAGATGTTATGAGGTCATTAGTGGATGATGGTAGTGTGGAACATAAATGGGATAGCTATGACAACACACATTTCTTATGTGGTTTTCCAACAGAAGTGGACTTTTGCTTCCAGCAAGGTCAAACATCTACTGCTCCAATAACATACAAATTGTCTGTTAAAGGACCTATTGAACTAGCAACTGAAAATGTACCAAAGCCACTTATTGGATTTATGAGGGATTGCTTTGCCATTCAGGTAAGACAGTCAGGCATCCCCATAATAAGATTAGATGACTATAACTTAGCCACGGACGACAATGAGGAATAAAGGATGAACGTTTATTTTTAAAGCTTATAAATGAGTTCTTCATCAAGCTCTCGCGAACCTTCACCATCTATGAAGCAAACTTTACCAAACGATTATGGAGCACCTATTGAATATTTCTTACGAGCTGCACAATAGCAAAGAGCAGTCTCACCAAGGTTAGGTGTTCCACCAGCTCCTGTCAAAAATAGCATTTGGTCAAGTCCTTATATAAGATATGGTCTCCCACTAGGTTTGCTAGCTACAGCAGGAGCAGTTATGATGTTGAAAAGAAATAAAGCAAATGTTGTAAATAATACTGAAGTAGCTGAAGTTAAACAAACTCCGACACCTTCGCCAAAACCAACGCCTTCACAAGCAAAACCTTCAATGACTCCTGAACCTATGGAAGTACAAACTCCTGTTCAAAAGTCAACTCCTAAACCGACTCCAACATTTAAACCAGAACCTACTCCTCAAATAAATCGTAAAACTCCTGCGTTTCCTTACTGAAAAAATAACGTTATTTTTATTTAATATTAAAATTTTTATTTGATTGAAATGACAAATAAAGTCACTGAAGCAATGAAACAAAGGTTTTTGGTAGAATACATTAAATCAGGAACTATTCCAGAAGGTTTTTACATTCATACTATGAAGGATGGTAGAGTTCAGTTTAGAAAGATAAAGCAACCATTAGATAGAGAAGGTATATTAAGGAAGATTAAACTTCATGAGGACAACATTGCTGAACTTAAGAAGAAGTTAGAAGAGTTGGAGAAAGGAAGAGAGTTATAAAGCAATGAATTCAACAGGGTGAGAAAAGAGGTGAAAAAAGAGGTGAGATTTCACCACTTCACCTAAATTTATTTTTGTGCTATGTTTTCATACGTGTGAGGGTGGTGATATCATTAATTTTTAAGTTTATTTTTATATAAATGACAGAACAAAAGCAACTCATTCGAATTCCACAGTATAACAAACATACATTTAAACATTTATTCTTCCTTCCTGAGCATAACATGTTCTTTCAAATACATCCGAGACCAGTTGACTTTTCATTGACTGTGTATAAAGATAGAAATAGTTATATCATTAAACCATACGATGACGAAGGTAAGTTATGTAAATTGTACGTTAAGAAGTTAGAGAAAGTTTATGGCTTCAAGTATGACTACAATAGGGTTAACACTGATGATGAAGATATTGAGGAAAATTTATGAGAACATTAGTGAAGTCGTTAGTGAGAACGATAGTGAGAACGTTTATTTTTTACATTAGTGAGTTCGTTAGTGAAGTGAAGTGGTTGGTGGTTTTGTAAATATTTAAGGTTAAGTTAGTGTTGTCGTTTGTGTTGTAAAATATACGTTAACGGTTTTGTAAAGTGTCAAATTCACAAGTATTGGGTAAGGAGGCGCGCAGTGCCTTCGTACCCAACACTTGTATACTAACTATCGGTCTTTTTTTAATACTAAACGTTTTTTTTCCTGTCACTTTTAGCTAAAATTTGGGTTTGCCAAGGATAAACCTCAAAATTTACGAATATAATGAGTGGGAATATAATGCTTATCTATCATAAAACCATATGAAATATCAATTTTTGCTTTACGCCTAATTTTTGACGACAATTAGCAAAAAATGTTAAATGTTAACACTCAGTCCATTTGAATATGAAAAATAAAATTGACTTTGATTAAATGTTTTTATTTATCATGCAATTCTTCTTGCGACCAAAGATTTGAATAAAATTTCAAAAAATAAGATAGCTTAAAAAATAATATAGCGGTAGTGTTTACTAATAGATGAATAGTTATAAATTCTATTAAAATGGATTTGATCCAAAAAAATATATAAAATTTGATCATAAATAAAATCGTTTTAAATTACTTCTTCATTTAAATTATAACAATTATTTTTGGTTTTTATTTATCATCCACATTCAAATTTGAATCTTATCACAAAAGAAGGACCACTTTTATGACTACTGCCAAATCTATAAGCAGAGAATGGCTATTTGAAGCTAAAAGAAGAATAGAAGAAGGTGAATCTTACAAAAGTGTGGGAAAGGAAGTTGAATTGGAAAATGGTAAAATTAAATTGAATGTTGCCGAAAATACAATAAGAAGAGCATTTCAACTTCAAGAAATCGAATTACCAAAAGTTAGTCGCGGCAGAAAACCAAATCCACCAACATTTGAGCAAAAACAATTAATTAATTCTTGTGTTTCACAATATAAAGGAGGAATTTCAAAAACTTATTTATTGATTAAAAGGTTTCAAAATATTGCTCAAAATCCCGATTGTGAGAAAGAAAAAGAAGAAATTGCAAAAGAATTTGAAAATATAGAAGATTTGACAAAGATCAAATTTTTGACAATTTACAAAAAATAAAGCATCATCAAGTGGAAAAATTTATGATGGAATCAGGTTTATCTTCAAAAAGAGATTACAAACCAGCAGATCCACCTACCAAATATCGTGCCATATCAAAGAATTTGATATGGCACTGCGATATTCATTACCTTCACGGTAATGTTTCTTTTCCATTTTTTGCCATATTGGATGATATGACCCGTAAAGTTCTCAAAACTAAATTATTGAAAAACAAGTCTTCCAACTCAACAGCGAAGGTTTTAAGAAAACTTTTAGAGGAGTTTATTCCTTACTGCATCTGGACCGATAACGGCGGTGAAAACTGCGGTGAATTCGGCCAGGTTATGCAGGAAAACGGAATAGTTTGGAAGCACACCTTGCCGTATATGCCAAGACAGAACGGCAAGGTGGAGCGCCTGTGGCCAAGCTTAGAAAAGTTTTTGCCAGACGAGTTGGATGATATTCAACAAATCAAGGACTCAGTTCAGCAGTTCATTGAAAAATACAACAATACACCACATTTATCTCTCGATATTAATCCAAAAACGAATAGTAATTACACTCCTAACGAATTATTCGAAGTTTCAAAATTTTGGTACGAGCCAGAAATGCAAAAATGGGAGTTATATATCAAAGACGAATGGGTCTTAGCAAAATTTGAATAATTGCATCATTTTAAATGACTAATAAACAATTTTATTTATGATCAAATTTTATATATTTTTTTGGATCAAATCCATTTTAATAGAATTTATATACTATTCATCTATTAGTAAACACTACCGTATATTATTTTTTAAGCTATCTTATTTTTTGAAATTTTATTCAAATCTTTGGTCGCAAGAAGAATTGCATGATAAATAAAAACATTTAATCAAAGTCAATTTTATTTTTCATATTCAAATGGACTGAGTGTTAACATTTAACATTTTTTGCTAATTGTCGTCAAAAATTAGGCGTAAAGCAAAAATTGATATTTCATATGGTTTTATGATAGATAAGCATTATATTCCCACTCATTATATTCGTAAATTTTGAGGTTTATCCTTCGCTTTTAAGATCATTGAATTTGATTTTTATATAAAATAGTTATATATTAGAAAATAATATGAGTTTATGTGATATTATTTTTCAGAAGATTTCATTCTATATGCCTATGAAAAGTACTCTCAAAACTAACTTTTTCCTAATTATAATTAAATCTAGAATATTGTATTATGCTTAGTATTATTTCATTTTTCTCATTCAATTTAGAATTTACAAATGTCAAAAAATTGAGAGCTGTCACTTTTGATGAATTTCTGTTTATTACACTCATTCCAAAATATTGTATTACATCCTGATTCAAGAATTTCTGATATAAAATAATTGCATTCATGCAGAAATTTTCTTATCATTCCAGCATATGTTTCACAATATTACCATAATTGAAAACAGAATTGATATTCTTATAGTTGTCTACAGTTTATTTAACTAATTGTTCAAAGAATGATTAACAATAGAAAAATAAGAATGATTCATTTAAACAAAGCTATAAAGGACGCATTTTATTAACAACTACAAAATAAATAATATCAAAAACTGATTAAGAAAGATCGAATCATTTATCAGTCATATGTTGAGCTTATCTAAAAGCTCGTATGAGGACCCATTCATAATGTTACCATTTTAAGAATTGGTTTAATAGTTAACCAGTTTTCGTCAAACCATTTCAGTAAAACAAGCTTTCGTCTTTTAGCATCTCTGCTAACTTTGATTCCAGTATATGAAGATACAATTTTTGCAATTCTAATAAGATCGCTATGAGTGATCTTTTCTCCATAATTAGATCTAAGATAAATCCATGCATTACTTTTGTTGACATTAAATCCCTGTACCAATTGTGAAACTCTTATCATTTCATTACTTAAATGTGCAGGCTTTCTTAATGGGTTGAGTTTTGAATCACTGTTATCAATCGGGTAACTTGGTTTATAGCCTTGAGTAATTCCGTTAAAAGTTACTGGCCTTGCTAGCAAATCATCAAGAGATATCATTGTCAATAATAATTGTAAAAATTGAATGAAACTGAAATATTCCAATTGAAAATAAAACTTTTAGTAATTTGCAAGGGATCTTTATATGGAATAGTTATTGTCCAATAAAATTTTTGAATACGGTTATTATTGACACTTAATAGTTACAATTTAACTTATTGTTTTTGTTTTAATAAGGAAAAAAAATGAAAACGGATAAGAAAATAAAATAAAATTGAATGCGACCTAAAATTATGTGGCTGAACGATTTTGGAATTGTAAATGGGAATTAGATACGAGCGGAGAATACAGATATCATTAAGGCTATGAAATTTAGATTTTTGACAGCTCTTTAGCGTATTGTGTGTGATAATTCAAATTAATTCAATTGAATTAGAACGATAAATTGAATGATGTAAAACTTCATATTCAATACGTATTGAATATGAACGTTTTCTTTCAGAAAGTTACACATGTGATGTTATGGAACCTGGTGTTTATAGAATTTCTAGAGTAAGAATTGCTAAAGATGGGCATATTTGGGCAAAAACTATTACCGTACGATTGAATGACATTCCTAACCCTGTGGATAGTCAGCATCACCTGCAATCGAGACTTCTAGAGTTGATATTCGAAGAATAAAAACTTGATATTTTTATATTTCCAAAATTGCAACTTTAGTTAATTTCCATTAACACATAGAAATAATGCATTATTATTGATAACATTATTAAATCTTAACTTGAAAATGTTTTCCTTTTGAGTAAAGTCATAAAATAGCGGATAAAAGTGAATGAGAATTGAAGTGCTCCAAAAAGTGTCAACTTGAATTTATATTCAAATCCTAAATGTTGCCTGGACTCATGCCCGAAGATGATTTCTTGAAAAGGATGCAAGCTGTTAATGATATGAAACAGAAGATTGATTCAAAATACAAGAATTTATCTACAAAAGCAGCAATTTCAAAAAATAAAGCAACAAAAATTTCATGTGGTCATAGAAAGCCTTCACTACAATCACAATATCATGTAGAGCCTAAGCAAAAGCCATATCAGCTTCTAAAGAAGCCACCTCGGCAATCTCGGAGTAAAGTTTCTGAACCAGCCCTAATCGTTATCAAAAAATACATAATTAATTCCTCGCAAGGTGATATGTCCTCCGCATTAAGGCCAAAGCTAGGTTCTATATCGACCAGATCTTCACCACTTCTCTCAAGTGCACCTAATTTTCCCTCTCCCCTTCACTCATTCAATTAAGCGTATATGTATTTTGTTTTGTTATAATCAGTTCTGTTTGCGGTATTTATAAAAACTTGTTTATTACTTCAATTTTATTGTTTGAATTTATCACTTCATGTATTCAATACCATATGGGCATAAAAGCTCTTAATTAAATAGTACGGCCAGGTTTTTCGCGGTATGTTTACATTTCATGACAATTTGTAATCATATTTAGATTTTGAATGCACAATTGACACTTATTTGCTAGAGTATTTACATCTGTCTCTAGTTTTATATAAATTACAATGAAAATGGAATCTAACTCCACACAATAATTTCAATTGTATATTGACCTGTACTGATTTGTCTATTTAAATATACAAATATAATTATAGTAGTGTATATCATTGAAAGATTTGACTCGATTTGCTCGAAGAGCCTTAATATTCGCAATTTGTCGGTAGTAGTTATAGGTGTTGCTATAATGATTAACCTGGTTTAAAGCAAAACATATACTCTTTAAATTGAATGTGCGAAATTTTCAATTCAAATTTATGGAAACTATATGAAAAGCAGACTTTTTTTCGTACACCCTCTCAATTTTTTTCCAGTTTTCGTACTCATATGGTATTATTAGTTTATAATAATCATAGAGCTTTCGCTATACTGCAGCATTAAAATATAGCTGCATTGTGATTATCTCCTTGAATTTGAGAGGATTCTAAGTTTAATGTCAAGATAATCTCAATTGAATTTAGCATGGAAGCAATATATTTACTATCGTATGATTGCTCATGATAGATCTATGCTTGTTTTACATTAATTTACAAAATCTAATCAAAATACCATATCACAGGAAGTTGAATAATAATAACTTTTTAAAAATTGTGTTTTTATATGGTTACAATTGGTAGTCTTTATAATTATGAGTGGGAGCTCTAGATTTGCTCAGAAATATGAAATATAATCAAGATTCAAGTTTGAATATAATTATATGAGTGTAAATAAGTTAATAAAAGAATTGGTTGCATACAATATGTCTAGATTCTTGCGAGTACGTACTCAGATCGGGAGAATCTCTCACTTTTGTTCCGCAATGTGACATTGGGAACAAAGTTTCCGATCTGAGTACATATTTGCATGGTCTTGCAATGGCACCCTGCAAGCACGTACTCAGATCGGGAGAATCTCTCACTTTTGTTCCGCAATGTGACATTGGGAACAAAGTTTCCGATCTGAGTACATATTTGCATGGTCTTGCAATGGCACCCTGCAAGCACGTACTCAGATCGGGAGAATCTCTCACTTTTGTTCCGCAATGTGACATTGGGAACAAAGTTTCCGATCTGAGTACATATTTGCATGGTCTTGCAATGGCACCCTGCAAGCACGTACTCAGATCGGGAGAATCTCTCACTTTTGTTCCGCAATGTGACATTGGGAACAAAGTTTCCGATCTGAGTACATATTTGCATGGTCTTGCAATGGCACCCTGCAAGCACGTACTCAGATCGGGAGAATCTCTCACTTTTGTTCCGCAATGTGACATTGGGAACAAAGTTTCCGATCTGAGTACATATTTGCATGGTCTTGCAATGGCACCCTGCAAGCACGTACTCAGATCGGGAGAATCTCTCACTTTTGTTCCGCAATGTGACATTGGGAACAAAGTTTCCGATCTGAGTACATATTTGCATGGTCTTGCAATGGCACCTGCAAGCACGTACTCAGATCGGGAAATCTCTCACTTTTGTTCCGCAATGTGACATTGGGAACAAAGTTTCCGATCTGAGTACATATTTGCATGGTCTTGCAATGGCACCCTGCAAGCACGTACTCAGATCGGGAGAATCTCTCACTTTTGTTCCGCAATGTGACATTAGACATTTGATTCCCGAAAGGAGTTTATATTTGCAATATACTGTCATATTATATTGCAATTATAAACCCCTTTCGAAGAAAGCTAATTGTTTTCATATCCCAATGTTGCATTAGAAATTAGATTATCGAAAGGAGGTTACGAGTATAATGTTATACCATATAATATTTCAATCGTAAACTCCTTTCTAAAGTATCTTCTTTACAATATAATTTAATTTTCTCATTCTTCTTTAAACTAGTAAATTTTATTCACAATTTAATCTAAATCATAAATATTCATGTTTTGCAGAAACGTTTTTTCAAACAAATCGTTTTTTCTTATCAAATTTTGTATTTTTTCTTTTGATTTTCAGTTTTTGAATTTTTTTTTGAAATTTTTATTCAATTTCAATGCAATTTAATTCTCTTTCATATGTATTATAATTTTATTCATCTTCAAATTTTTTATTTTTGAATACATGCGATAATTATTCATTCAATTTTTAAATGAATGTTTTGATGGGACGAGATTACTGATAATAGACTCATCCCATCAAAACATTCCCTTGAAAACTCTGGCCTTCATCGAGGCCAGAGCTCACAATTGATCTCCTCAGAGCCAAGTTCCTCGACGGTCGTCCTCATTAGGTTCGATCCGAGAGGAACTTGGCTCTGAATGAAATTCATAGGCTCTGGTCTCAGGAAATGCCAGAGCTTCGCAAACAATCCTTGGGGCTGGTTCCCTCAAAGACCGCCCTGATTCGGGGCGGCCGGAGAGGAATCCAGTCCCAAGAGAGCGCCCAAACGAAGCTCTGGCCTTAGCAGTGGCCAGAGCCTGCAAATACAATCCTCAGGGCTGAATTTGAGGGAGATCGTCAACATCATTGACGATCTCCCTCAAATTCAGCCCTGAAAGAAAGAAATACACAGATTCTTGCCTCAGAAAAGGCCAGAGCTTCGCTTACAGTCCCCAGGGCCGGCTTTCCCAAATGCCGTCCTGATCTAGGGCGACAGGAGAGGAATCCGACCCTGGGAAACAGCAAACCTGAATTTCTGGCCTCAACATATGTCAGAGCCTGCAATACTAATCCTCAGGGCCGAGTTTGAGGGAGATCGCCAACATTAATGACGATATCCTCTTATCTCGGCCCTGAAAGACATACAGATACAGGCTCTGACCCTTGTTGAGGTCAGGGCATCTCTATAAATGGCAGTTTTTCTATGTTCTTTCATTTTCTGAAAGATCATAGTGAAAATACTCTCTGATGCTTTATTGTTTCAAAATAATACATGCGTGAGATTATAATTTTGCAGCAAATTTATTGATTGCATGCAAATATTTGATCTCAATAATTCAAACATGCAAATTTAGGGTTTACCCGTTACAAATAAAATATTTGCTTAACAGAACTCTATTTATAATGAATAAACACTCTTTTTTATATAATAAAATCTTTATTTCATCATCAATGATAATTGAGTAAATTTATAACAATAAATGTATTTACAATAACAAGTACATATCATTCTCATATATGCTTATCTTCAAAACTCTATTTTAAAAAAGATGCCTAATTGCATATGCAATAAAAATCAAATTTTATAGATTAACACATTGAAATTGTACTTTGCACAAAACATTATGCTTGTACTAGTAAAATCTTTTAAACAATTATAAATAATCAAATATGATATTTGATGTGATATATGTCTAGACCAGAGATTGAAATATGAACAGGAGAAAGACAAGTTCTGATCATAGGCAAACATTGGACATCAAATACTATGCTCTGTAAAAAAGTACGAAAACTGTAAAAAAATTGAGAGGGGGTACGAAAAAAAAAGTCTGCTTTTCGTATCGACTCAAATTTATGACATTTGTCAACTCCGTTCTACCTGAATCGTAGAGTATCTTAAAAATTATCGTGGGTACCATCTTTTAAAGTATGAAGACACTACATGGATTCGAATTTTTCATCATAATGCATCAAACTACAAATTTTTCAGCCTTAACAAAGCCACTCAAAAGCAACAAGTTTCATTTATCAATGAATCCGACCGATTCAGTGTTCTTGGTTCTCTAAATGATCATTTCTTAATAAACAATACATTTCATTTTCTTTTCCTCGAACCAGATACCTTTCCAGAGGATTTGTTTTTCTTTGAACAGAGTAGTAATCCATTTACGTCATCAAATGTCTCCAATTTTAATAATTCTTTCAAGTTGAAGAAATGTAACTTTGTTTCTGAAAAAACATATGTTTTTAATGGACTTTCCTTATCATCGGTCAATTTTTCCTATATTGGCGGCAATACAGGATCAGACGATTTTCATTATGCAATTGGTGCGAGTGTCTCATGGGGTTCGAATCCTACTACTTTCCCAGGAATTGTTTGTATGTCAGAAGGGAAATTTGTTGTGCCTCATACTTTACAACTTTGGATTCAATTTGAAGATTTCAACATTTTTGACTTTTTGCCCTTAAAAGACTTCAGATCTATTTGTTTTTGCTATAATAGGCTCAATGTTAATGTGTTTGTTTTCATAATCATGATTTTATAAAAGATAATTTTAATTGAAAGTTAAAAAGCAATAATAAACTGTTTTTATAAGGTTATCCATGCTTTTATATCGAAGCGTATGAGTTAACTGAGTTTGGCTAAAAAAAATTAAATAAGTATTCATGAAATAGTCTTTAAACCATTACCCTTTATTTGTCATCACAAAATATCATTTTCTGTGAGTCCTGTATATCCTACAAAATCTGACATTTGTAAACTCCAAAATCTGACATTTGTAAACTCCAAAATCTGACATTTGTAAAGTTTCAAATCTGACATTTGTAAAGTTTCAAATCCGACATTTTGTAAATAGTCAAAGTTGTCAGATTCATCCTTGGCGCCAAAATTTAAAAAAGTGCCATAATCTCATGGTGGACTACAGCTGGTGTCGCCGACGACTATCCACTTGCTGGGATGCTACGCAGCCTTTGATCTGGCCAATCTTAGTGCTGCTCCATCCACATCAGCAAGTGATTTCGGCGGGGGATCTCCAATCGGTCTTCCATGAGGGTTACGCAAGCCAGAAGCGCAATACCTGTGCAGTCTAGCTGCTAGGATATAGTAGCTAGGCTGTGTGGGTATTGCGCTTCTGTCGATATTAGTTATACGTTATTGCCCTCGTTGACTATAGTACTACTCCCTTAACCTCCGAGGGTTAGGGGAGTAAATTTGCTTGAAATGGGCAATGTTCATTACGAAATCTCTCATTCGATGAGAGACTTCGTAATGAACACTACCTTAAAGTACTCTTACTACTCTTTCCTAGTTCCCAAAAGGCCTAGGATTCTGTAATTAATCGAATAAGGCAGAGTTCTTCCGAAGTCTCTCATTTGATGAGAGGCCTCGGAAGAACTTTGTCCTAGTATAATGTAGTTGTGGTCTCTAACAATTTATGTGTCAGAGAATGTACTTTTACTCGAATAGAGCAGAGTTCTTCCGAAGTCTCTCATTTGATGAGAGGCCTCGGAAGAACTCTGACCTAGTGTAATGTAGTTGTGGTACTTGGCCCACAAAGAGCGAGAGAATATGTCTGTAATTCGTTTGTGCTGAAGTTATCTGGATTTTCCTCAAATGAGGAAGGAAATCCAAAAAAAACTTCAGCACAAGTTAATGCAGATGTGGTTCTCTGGCTCTTTGCTGGCCAGAGAACGAATAAAAATTTTTTGTTGTGAGTAGGCTCGATGAATACCTACTCACTACAAATATACGTTATTTTTTACTTTCCTATGAGAAAATAGTTTTTCATTTTTATAATACTATATGCTTTGTTACTTCATAAATTGTCTATTTTTCTTATTAAAGCCTAATTTTTCCGTGTGATTCAGAATCTATGCATTCCAAAAATGCGTTTTCCGCTTTCAGAACGCGAAAATAAGCACTATATGTGGAGATAAAGAGATTTCTAATGTTTTTATTTTTTGAAATTTTTCATTCTTGATCAAAACTCAAAAATAAACTTGCCATCTATTAGGGTACGTAAAATTACTCATATCTATCATATTAAAATTTTCGAAAAATCTCCAAAAAAATCGTGGTTCGAAAATTTCGAAATCAAAAAGCATATTTTTCGCGGAGAAAAAAAGAAAAACGATTTTTTTTTGGAATTTTGGGGAGAAAGAATCTTCTTTATCTCCACATATAGTGCTTATTTTCGCGTTCTGAAAGCGGAAAACGCATTTTTGGAATGCATAGATTCTGAATCACACGGAAAAATTAGGCTTTAATAAGAAAAATAGACAATTTATGAAGTAACAAAGCATATAGTATTATAAAAATGAAAAACTATTTTCTCATAGGAAAGTAAAAAATGAGAAGTCACTCAACTCAGGGTTCCCCATGCAGATTGATTCAAGGAGTAATAATGAAAAATTTAGATTATACTAGCTCAGCTTATATCATATGTGTGAGATAATGAGTGATTTATGAGTAAGGAATTATATTGATAATAATATTATAATAAATTTAACTAGATTTGAGTGGAAATGAATTTTAAACGATTTTATATTAGGAAATGGTGTCTATTTATGCCAAGACATATAATAAATAATAATTTTGAAGATATATTAGCCATAAGATTTGAATAGCTTAGTGGAAAACTCAATAAAGATTAGGACAAGTATTATTCTCCAATATCGATGATTTCAAACTTGGAATTGAGCGAAATTATTTGATAAAAATTCCATTGGAAGGATTTGAAAAGTTTTAACTATAATGAATGTATAACTTATGTGATGAGAAATTGAAATGAATATGAGTTTAAAGGAATAAATCAAGAAAATTTATTAGAATATATACTGAATTAAAAGACATAACTTGCATAAAAATAAAGGATTTAGCTAAAATATTTTAATAACTCTCGATCCCAAAAATTACAAAGTATTCAAAAGTTTTGAGATATTTAAATTTTAATAAAATTTTCGAAATTTAATTTTTTCGAAAGTGTCAAATAACGTATTTTCTTTCAGAAATATTTTTCAAAAATTTCATGTTCAAGTTTATAAGCAATGTATACTGAGTAATATTTTTGGCGATGTCAGAATTTTTTTTGAATGGTTTACGATTTTTAACATAGGTTTATTCCTAATATTACTAAATGAATATTTTATTTATTACAATTTTGGTCGCTTAAATTCAAAAACCATAAAATTTTGAGAGTTGGAGTACTTCTAAAAAATAACGTATATTTGTAGTGAGTAGGTATTCATCGAGCCTACTCACAACAAAAAATTTTTATTCGTTCTCTGGCCAGCAAAGAGCCAGAGAACCACATCTGCATTAACTTGTGCTGAAGTTTTTTTTGGATTTCCTTCCTCATTTGAGGAAAATCCAGATAACTTCAGCACAAACGAATTACAGACATATTCTCTCGCTCTTTGTGGGCCAAGTACCACAACTACATTACACTAGGTCAGAGTTCTTCCGAGGCCTCTCATCAAATGAGAGACTTCGGAAGAACTCTGCTCTATTCGAGTAAAAGTACATTCTCTGACACATAAATTGTTAGAGACCACAACTACATTATACTAGGACAAAGTTCTTCCGAGGCCTCTCATCAAATGAGAGACTTCGGAAGAACTCTGCCTTATTCGATTAATTACAGAATCCTAGGCCTTTTGGGAACTAGGAAAGAGTAGTAAGAGTACTTTAAGGTAGTGTTCATTACGAAGTCTCTCATCGAATGAGAGATTTCGTAATGAACATTGCCCATTTCAAGCAAATTTACTCCCCTAACCCTCGGAGGTTAAGGGAGTAGTACTATAGTCAACGAGGGCAATAACGTATAACTAATATCGACAGAAGCGCAATACCCACACAGCCTAGCTACTATATCCTAGCAGCTAGACTGCACAGGTATTGCGCTTCTGGCTTGCGTAACCCTCATGGAAGACCGATTGGAGATCCCCCGCCGAAATCACTTGCTGATGTGGATGGAGCAGCACTAAGATTGGCCAGATCAAAGGCTGCGTAGCATCCCAGCAAGTGGATAGTCGTCGGCGACACCAGCTGTAGTCCACCATGAGATTATGGCACTTTTTTAAATTTTGGCGCCAAGGATGAATCTGACAACTTTGACTATTTACAAAATGTCGGATTTGAAACTTTACAAATGTCAGATTTGAAACTTTACAAATGTCAGATTTTGTAGGATATACAGGACTCCATTTTCTGTCAATATTAATCTTATATCGATACAAATCAAACGTAAAGAATGTGAAGTAAACATACCATTGAAACAGATAAATAAGAAGTATTTAATAATAAAAAATAAACTTTTATTATATTTTACAAACAAAAAAAATATATAAACAAATAAAAAAAAATAATGATTAAATGTTATTAAAGTCGACATGTAGCAATAAAAACCTTCCAGTCTCACTGAACAGCATCAAAGCCTGTGATTTCTGGCTGTATTCCATGAACAGAGCTGACGACATCATTTTGTAAAATATTTTCTCGAATTTTAATTCGAAAACATCCGAAATAAAAACTAATCCATTAGTTGATGAAACAGCCAAATAATCAAATCCGTCTGGGCTCTTGAATGCTGTCATCATTTCTATCTTGCTTGGGAATATCTCTTCCTTTACAAACAGTCCATTTATCGTGTGAACATTCAAGCAATGAACAATTTTGTTGTCAACAGTTCTTGTCAAATAAACAACAATGAAACCCCAAGAAGGAGTGACAACAATAGACAGAATCGAGCACAAACTAAGTTCAATAACAAATACAGAGTTTCCTGTATCCAAACTGTGAACAACGACACCTCCATCTCGAGATCCAACAACGACAACTCTGAAAATTTTTGACAGACAAATTGCTCGGCCAATATCTCTGTGGAAAGGTGTTTGCGAGACACAACTTCCGAGTTTATCTGTTTTGTAGACACTCAATATTGAGTTCGAATTAAGTGTCGTGAAATAGTTGGAGTCGACGGATTGGCATTGAAGAGGAGAAGAAAATTCTGTCAAATAATTCTGGAGATTGTCAGTTTCCAAGACAAAACAACTTTTCTTCGTATTTACTAAATATAAGTTGCTCTGTAAATAAATAAACGTGACATCTGTATCGTTCATATCAATTTTCTTAAATTTCCTCAAATCCGTCTGAACTTGGTCGCCATCGAAAACGCAGACATTATTTGAAAACTCGAGGTTTTTCGAGATAGTGTAAAAACTGAAAACATTCGATTTTTCTTGGCAAACTTTGACAAACAATAAATTGGTCGATCCGCTGTCAAACTTAATTGGATTCGTCTTAACAGTTTGTGGATTTCTTCTAGGGTGAGGTGAAGTGAAAATTTGATGAGGAATTTGGCCCAAAAACATTTTTGACGCTTCGATTTCACTTTTCTTTACAGGGTCATTTAGATTTTCATTTGTCCAGATGTCATCATACAAATAAGGCGAAAAAGTATTATCACATTTTCTGCTTTCTTCACCTTTTTGTTTGTATCCGAACACCAAGTCAATCCAGTTGTTTAAGTTCTTCGAAACGAAATCGGATTCAAGAGCTTTTCTGTTTTTATAGACGAATTCAACGGGATTGTTGTGAGACCATGGAGGAAGAATTACGTCATCATTTTTATCATGATTTATTGTTCCAAGATTGAAATTGTTTTTGTTCAAGAAAATGTCAGGTAAAAAGAAGAATTCAGGGATTAATTCTTTGTAATCATTTTGGTCATGTAATGAACTTTGATGCAAGTTTTTAATTGAAGCAAATAATCTTTCAGCAATATCAAATTTTCCACTTTGAAGAACAATGTGCATTGTTGTAAATGGTTCCATTCTTATCATCATTCCAAACAAAGTTAATGAACATCCCATTCCGTTCTCATACAAAAATGAATCTCCGGACAATTCTGATATGTTATTCTTCAGAAATTCCAATCTTTCTTCGTTCAATGCTCCAACAGGTTTCGATAAATCTCTAAATGTCTTTTTATCAGAAAGATCCAATTCTTGGGAATCGTAATCATCAATGACCCATGGCATTATTGGATACTGACATGGATTAATGAAAGATCTGCCACTCAAGTAATTCAAGTAAATTAAATACTCGAAATTCGAAATTTGTCCTTGAACCCATTTCGTTGTTTTCTCTATTAATTGGTCACTAAACGGTCTATAAACAAATGATTTGAGTCTTTGCGTCAAATACTTCAAAGATGTTGCTCTGACTTCAGGAGACTCAAAATTAATAAAGATTTGATGTCCATTTTCTAAGAAAATTTCAATTGCTGTTGGCAAATGCAAATGACACTGTTTTTCAATGCCAACAATAGTATTATAATAAATTGTTTTGATGCTCCTTTGTTCATCATCGTATTTTATCGTCATGTCACTTTTATGTAAACTTAACAAAGCAGAAAAATTTCTTGTAATTTTGATAATAAAAATTTTTGTTGTAAAAAGTGACGCTTCATTTTCATTGAATTTCTTTGGAGAAATTTTTGTCCAAGAATCCTTTCTGAAGTAATTCTTTGTGTTCTCCATTTTTGATGTATCCAATCTTGCTTCACTTGCTTCTTTGTGGTCATTAAATTCCCAATTTGGCTTCAATTTAAATGGACACATTGCGTAACACAAAGTTTTATCTCTCATGAAATGTCTGTGAAGAGGAACTGCTTTCTCCCAAGCACTCTTCTCGAGTGTCATGTATCCCCATTTGTGTCTCCACATCTTGTGGTTGTTTTCGAGTTCTTTGGCTAACTGATTCTTGTAGTTTTCGATGAAATCAACTTTTTTAGCTTTGCTAACTGAAGAAACTAAAATGTCAACTAAAAATTGTTCTGATTTCATCCAAATATCACTAATTTCATCGCCAACTGATTTGACTTTGAATGGGAAACTAGTAAATATCTTAACAATCATGTCATAAGCTTCAAAACTCTTCTGAATTGAATGATTAAAGTTTTTGTCACTTTTTGAAATGTTAAAATTATAATTTGAATTTTTAACTTTCATTTTGATATGTGACAAGTTAATCAAGTTCTCAACAATCTCATTAATTTTATCTTGCAGCTTGATATTCTGTATTGTTTCTGTAAAAAATCCAACTTCTTTGCCAATCATCAAAGTGGAAGTCAACAAAATAAAAATCAATGCCAAATCAGTTTGTTTTTTCAACAAAATCTTACAGATTTTCTTGGCCAAATCTTCATCAATCCAATCTCCATTCTGATCAAATCTCACTCCAAACTTGACTTTGTTGATTATTGATTCATCAACAGAAAAAAGTGTCAAATAATCTGACACGGTTTTTGTATTTTCTGCTCTTTTCGTTGGGAACTCTATTTGGAAACAATTTGTCACACATTCAATGTCAGTGACTATCTGACCAATTTCCGATTGAATTTTACACAAAAGTGCCATATTATTATAACATTGATTTCTCATGAATAAAAAGTGCAAACTAATGAACGCAAAATAGTTAATTTCACGTATTTCTACGTTATCTCCTTTCTTATATAATTTTTCGTACATGGAATTCAAGAAAATTGGCTCCAAAAAGTCAGAAGGAAGAGAAACATGTCCAACAATCGAAACCAATGTATATAAATAGATCCAATCATCGTAAACATCAATCAAATAAGAGAGTAACTGTTTGATATCTGTCATTTGAAGATATTTGATGATACTCAATGGAAAAATTGGCCAATAAGTGAAGTCAAATGTCACTTTTTGTTGGGTTAACAATTCAATTGTTCTAACTGATGCTTTGTGACCAATTTTTTGGGAAAGGAAGCATAAGACAGGCAGGAAGCATCCGTTATTAGTAAATAAATAGTTTGAAAAACAATCATATAAATTCATGTCAAAAACTCTATCGTCCAAATGTGACAAAAACGAAAACATTGTAATAGTTATTGTTATAGAGTTAGAATATTTTGATAACAAGTAGATAAGGATATCACATATTCCTGCAATGATTTTCCCGTTGTTTGTTGACATGTATTTGTAAAAAACTGCCAAAAAATTAGAATTTTTGCAGAATTTTTGGAAAGGAGAGTTTTTCAACAAAGAAATCTTCTTGATCATGTCAATGATATCCAAACATAAACTCTCGTTCTTGCATGTCAACACATAATCAGTGATATGTTGTAAATCATCAAAAGTAAATGAAAAAGGTGACATTTCAACCAAAATTTGATATAAAATTTTCTTTGAAGAATTTTTCGTTTCTTGGTAAGGAAGAATTGAAGATTCTACTTCAGTTTTGTAGTAAACAATACAAATAGAACTAAAGAAAGAAAGGAAAGATATAATTGTTGTTACTAAACTCATGTTTCTTACAACAAAAATATTCAACCAATGATCAAAAATTTTGAAACTTGATTCAGAAGAACACCATAATTCTATGTTCAAAATGATGTTTGTTATCATTTGCGATTGGAGCTCTGTTGTTTGTAGTTTCTCAAAGAAATGATAGAACATTAAGTAGACGTCGAAATTGAGGAACTGTTTGTGTTTTGTTAAAATGTTGTTGATCATTGCGAAACTTCCTGATTCAGCGAAATTTGGCTCTGCATAATATCCTGTTTCAATTGCTTTTTCTAGCAGAGAAATTGCGATTTGGTAGACATTTCCTATTTCTTTCTTTACTGGTTTTTCTTCTCTGTGGAATCTCCTTCTCCTCATCCTCTTCGGCTGTGTGTCAATGTCTCCGAAATGGGAACTCCTTGTCTCACTCACTTCTTCTGTATAAACTCCGCTTTCATCGAAACTTTCTTCCTTATTTCTAATTTTATCATGGTTTTCGTCACTTTTTACAGGAGAAACATTTTCTTTATTAATTTCTTTTTCTTGTACTGGATTTTCTTCATTTTTATTAGTTTGATCTTTTGTTTCATCTTTATTTAGTTGTTTTCCTTCATTTTCTTTGGTTTGAGATTCATTTGGTTGTTTTTCAACTTTTTCTTCATTTTTAACTTGGTTTTCTTGTTGAGATTTTTGATTTTTAATTTTATTTTCTTGATCTAAATCTTTGTTATCATTAGATTTGACTTCATTTTCTTCTTTCTTTTCATCAACTTTTTCATTTTCATCTTGAATTTTCTCGAATTTTTGTTTTTCTGCTTGAATTTTACCTTTTTCTTCCTTGTTTTCATTAATTTTTACATTATTAACTTGATTTTCATTATTAATTTGGCTAGAATTAGAAGGATGAATGAGTAAACTGTCTTTGTTTTTAGTAGAATTGTCTATTTCGTCTTCATTTGATATTTCTTCAATTATTTGTGAGTCATTAGAAACATCGTTTGATTTGTCATCATTTAGAATAGATCTGTCAGCCAAATCAACAGTTATGTCATTTGATTTTTCTTCTTCAGAGACTTGGAAATCATCCAAAATCTGGTCATTATTTGGAACAATTTGGCTGTCAATTGTATTTGTTTGTGGAATTATTTCTTCATTAGATTCATCAGATGATTTGTCCTCTTCTATTCTTTTATCATTGATTTTCATGTCAGGGAACAAAAACAAAGGAATTAAAATGTCCAATTTCACCTTTGAAATCAACAAATTTGGAAAGTTTTCAAGTAAAAACTGTTGTGATTTAATGATTTGATTACTAAACACAACTAAATCTTTGGATTCATGTATTTCCATGAATACATCATTATCATTTTTCAAAGTTCTGTCAATCAAATCATCGTCATCACACAACAACAAAAAATATCTTATAAAATTACAATTACAATTAATAAGATTATTATGATAAAACAACAATTTCGTTTCTTCATTCGGTATAATACTCGTCCTTAATGTTGTATGCAATCCATTAAATAAAAACACTAAAATTAATCGGCCAATTTCAATTGAAAAAGTGACAGAAAAATCAGAAATATTTTGTGAAGTGATTTGTTGATTAGAAGTTTTTTCATCTGTTATTGTTTTGACAAACAAAGCGCTGTTATTTATATAAAGAGAAATAGCTGTTTTCATTTTGTCAATCACTTCACAAATGACCAAATCATTTTTCACTTTTTGGAAATTTGACTTAAAAATAAACGTCAAATTTCTATTTAATTTCAGTTTTTTTGGTAATTTCTGTTTTGAAACAGGCGGGAAATTCTTTTGGTACTTGAAGAATTTCTTTAATGTCAGTACTGCTTCATAGAAATGTTTGGAAACAACTAAATTATCATTAGGACACAAAAAACTTATAAATTTTTGGACGATAACAGGTGAACTGACTTTAATTGCAATATTTATGAAGATATCCATCAATAAATTGAAGTAGTTGTCATCTATCTTATCATCTTCCCATATACTAGTCAATACTTCCAATATAAAAATGTCAAATTCTGCATTATGTAACTGCAAACAATTTTGTTCAGAAAATTTTACTAACCTTAAAATTTCTTTTCCAATTAAAATCGTGCTCTCGATATCTGTGTAATTCCGCATTATTATTGTTGCAACACTAGGTTGGTATATTTCATTACTATTGGCTGTCAAAAAATTAAAAAGTGACATTGTCAGATTTCTGTCAAAAACCTTTCCAAACAAATTTTGAACGGAAAGTGACAAAATTTGTAATTCGAACATATTTATCGTTAATAAGTTCGGAAAAAGTGACATAAAATTCAATAATTTGACAAAGAAAACTTTGAACAAATCATTTTTGTAAGGAATTTTGACGAAATCCAAAAGTGTTGGACAAAACGTTGTAAATTTCTTTTTGTAGTCATCATTCAACGCAATTATTCTCGCGAGGAATTCCAGGAAGTCTATCATGTACTGCTGGCAAACTGTTTCATTCATTTGTATCTTTACAATGTCAAGTAAATTAAAAATTGACAAAAGTAAATTTTGATGTAAATCTGACAGATTCGAACAAATCTCGTTGAAAACAAACTCTCTCAAGTTCTCCTGTATAGAAAAACTGATCATCATGTAATTGAATGAGCTATCGTTGAATAGAAATTCTGTTACTTTTTGATTTTTGAGTAAAAAGTGCAAACTTGTCAAACAACTTTTAGTTATTTCAATTATACCTTGTTCTCTTTGTATAACTAGATACAACAAGTTGGAAAATCCTGTAACTATGTCCCTGTGCAACAACGATTGTTTTTTTGTCAAAGTTTCTTGTGAATTACAAAAATTTGCGGCAAATAATGACATAACCTCTTTAAACATCAATGGAGAATGTGCTGCTTGTTTGGTTAATAGAACTAATGCATTATCATCTTGGAAAATTAGTTTGTAAACCATGTTTCTGAAATTTCGATTTTCATCTACGAAAAATTCTTCTTTTAGAATGAAAGACTTAACAAATGTTGTATATAATGAACTAAACGTTGCATTGTATTGTAGTATTTTGTAACAAATCTCAAGATAAAGAGTTTCTACCATATGATCAGTTGATTCTGTTGTAGAAATGCCAATTATTGAGCGTAAGTATGATATACATTCTGATATATGTATTTTTGATCGAATAATCATCTTAATAAATATGTTTATCTTTGAATCTAATGAAGAATTAAAAATTGGAGATGCATAGTTGATTTCTGTATTAAAATCAGTATTATTTACGGTAAATTTCTCATCAAGAGCGTTGATTTGTTTGAAATTGAACTCCATTTTGATTAAACGAAAATCATAATTTTTATAATTCGAGTTTTTCTTAATTGTAACATTAGAACCACGTATGCTGTAAACAAGTATATCGCTTAGTTGCTGAATAACGTCCATAACCTTGGATGGGTCAAGTAAATCGCAAATTCCTGAAAATATGTCGTAAGAATCGGAATTCATTAAAATAAAATCGGGCATGAAGCATGAAATAATGAAATCTATTGTTGGTTTGCCGATTGTATCTTTTTTCTCTGATATTAACGCTAAAAATTTTTGGCGGAACAAAACTCTGTCGGGAAATGTCTGAGAATAGAATTTACTTACAATACTAGTAAAAAGGGAAGAGTACTCGTTAGCGAAGATTGTTGATTCCTTGTAAAAACTGAAAATTTCATCGACTAATGAAATATTTGGAGTGAAATTAGAAGATTTAATGTATTTTTCGAGAATTATAATGAATAATCTTTCTATTCCTTGGGTTCTTATTATTTTAATCGTGTAATTTATTGAATGTAGTAATATATCTCCTCCAGAACAATCATTAGTGGCTTCTCTTGCTGCCTCCCAGCAAATGAATTGATATAAAATAAAATTGATCATTAATCCTTTTTCATCACGATTAGTAGGAATGATTAATGAAAGAAATTCACAATCTTCTGAGGAAAATACATTAGTAATTCGTAAAACAGGCATTATTTCCTTGTATGTGAGATCTTTCGTTAATTGTTTTGTCTTGTCTTGGATGTCTCGCCGATTGGAATATAAAAAACTATTATGTTTAAGGATCTGAAGCAGCTTAACATTTTTAACGTTGCTGATATCGAGATCTGTATCGAACTGATCGATTACAAATAAAGTTATTTCAACAGGAGTGGATTTATTAGATAATTTCGTTTTATCAAAGTGAAGGACTTTCAAATGTTTATATTTTGTCAATTTTGCCATTTTGTGTGATAAAGGTTATTTATATGAGATATGAAGAATGAAACAAATTTTAAGAAATTTGTGAACCGCGTTTTTTTGAAAAGTTTTACAATGCGGCAAAAAAAAAATAAAGATTTTTCTCCACCGCCATCCACGAATCTATCGATACTTATGTGACAACTTGATAAGCTAGAGTGCTACTTAATGGGGCCACCTATATGCAGATATTTCCCAAATTATTGAATAAAAAAGATTGTCACTATATGCTCTTTCATTAAGTTTTACTACACGAGTATATTATTCTCATAAGATTTTCGTTTGAAAAAATCGAAATAATTAGATTTGATAAAAACGATAGTCAAAATTAAGATGCATAAATCACCAAGTATAGTATTCTAGTGAGAGTACTCATATTTTATTGCATTTTTAATGATCAAAATATATCTTTTGGTTGAATCTTATGTCCGATCATATTAAAACGAATCAATAATGCAACACACAAAGTCAGAATAGTTATTTCTCATTGGTTTTTTAATTGTGACAATGATCAAAATCATGCATTTGATTCAGTTTTGATTTCACTGTTGTTGCATACAAAACTAATTGGTTATTATATATTGCCATAAAATGTATTAACAGATTTTCGGTGAACGAATTTAATTAACAAAAAAGTTACAAAATAAAATAAATTATTATGCATCCTTCCACTTGCATTTCTCAAGATCAGATTCTGTGCATCCGCGCTTAAACACGCCGCCAGAATGGCGAACCATTCTCATATGCGACAAATCAACATGACCAAGCTTGTGAAGAGCAGCTACTGCTTCGGATTCCTCGTAGGAGAGTTCTATGAATCTATGAGATGGGAAATTGCCCTGTTGATGGAAAAGACCGCCTTCAATTGTTTTAACGCCGATCAAACTCGCGAAGGCTTCTCTGTTAACCCAAATAATATTGTCGTCAACCCACTTGACGCCAATATGTGGGAAATACTCAGGTTGAACTTCAGTAATTCTAAGTGCATTGAATAATTTATATGGGAACTTTGAAGCGGATGAGTTTCTGCGGCGGAAAAAGTTTTGTACAAGCGATCCAAATGAGATGATGTCTGATGACCATATCGATGATGGAATTAACCCCAACTGAGATGGACAAAATGTAAGTGAAGAATCTGCACAGACTTGGTCAAATGACCTGTTTGCAACTGGGATTTGCAAATTGAACATCGGCATGCTCTCAGAAAATTGCTTTGTGCTCATCAATTGGATAAAAGAATTATCTTGAAGGAAAATTGGATAAGCGCTTTGGTTGATGGCTTGTTGGAATTGGGGTGCAATCATTGTTGACTGAAGGACTGGAGCAAACCCCGGTTGAAGCATTGAATTTCCACTGAAGTACTAATTGGAGTACTGATAAGGTGGAGGTGTTGAGCTGTGATACATCATCATGGGGAGGGCTTGTTGGGCTTTCTCAACAGTATATTGCTTACTCATTGGATAGACTTGCATTGGTGCACTTAGAATATCTGAAAAATTGTAGAAAAAACCGCGCAATTCAATCAATTTTTGAAGTATTGAAAATTATTATACAATAATTAATCTCCAAAGTAGCATGACAAAACATTTGATCGAAATTGTTTATTTCAATTAAATATGAGTCTGTTTGTGGAAATTTTGATTTGATTTTTGCATAAATAAGGTGATTAATATCAAATGTTTATTGTAAAGTAAAAATCTATCGAGAATTTGAGGATTACGATAGAACACAATTTTGAAATTGAATAGAATTATTGAAAGGAATATTTGTGGCATTTTGAGAATAGAATTTAAGAATAATTTTTCAAATTTAAGATTTGAGTGGAATCTATATATGAATCTTTTAGATTTATTAATGTCATTTTTTGGTTTTAAAATTGATTTGTTTGAATTCAAATATATATTTCCTGCATGTAGGATTTAATGTATTATCTTGGTGTAATGTTGAAACTACAATACAAAAAGTTAAATAATGAAAAGTGTTCTTATCACTCAAAACTCATATTATACTGATGGCGGTATAATGTCAAGCAAAATCTCTGTAATAATTCAGCCGGATTTTTTGAATATGAGAACAAACCGAATATAGTCAACAATATATTATAGAATATCAGCATGACATCATTAACGAAGACAAAGATGCTTTATCGAAGATTTGAATATGCGGCTTTTTTGAAGATCGATATCGGTTTAATGCAATTCCTTTGACTTTTTCAATGTGGTATATTTCTTATTTAACAATTAGAATTGCTATTTGACTTATATTTTCATGAATTTAACAGGTTTTAATTGACTTTTCTAAACTTTTGTAAATATCTCAAAAGAAAGTTATTGAATTTTTTGAATACTAAATTTAGGCATTTCCTTTTCTACTGTTACGGTCTTTTAAACAATTATTCTCTTTTTTTCTTGAATTGTTGAATATCACTAGTATCTCTTGTCAACTATCAGGGAAATTATTTCTTTTTTGGGAAAATTTAGTTTTGGGTTAATTTTGGGAATAAATAAATGTACATCAATGTGCATCAAAAATTATTTCTCATGTAATAAAACAAAACCAATTTGACAATTAATTTATTCAGAATCTAATTGTTTTTATGTATTTTTTTTCCAACCTAATTTATGGCATTCTTTAGCATTGAAATTAAATAAATCAATTCTATTTTTCCAAAATTGTGTCATGAACTGGCTTCACTGAGTGGAACATTTTCACCAACTAATTAACTTGAATCTTTTTTATTCATATGATCTCTACTTTTTTCATATTATAATTCAAGATTTTATCAATCCCTTTATTGATTCATCCCAGTGCTTAGATGAGTTTTACTTCAGAACAGTATTTTATGTTTATCCTTATTGGATTTTGTTTAGAAAATCAATCAAATTCTATCAAATATTTAGTTAATGGTATCCATTAATGGAATTCCAATTAGATCATAGGTTACTCAGTAAGGTGCAACTAATACAAGAACACAATAAAAAAAGCAATAAAAAATTTTATGAAAAAAATCACCACAAAAATCGAGTGAGAGAAAAAAAAATAAATAAAAAAATAAAATGAACGCTCTTATCGAAGCTCTCAAAGCAGATAGCGTCGAAAAAATGGAAGCTGCAGTTCCAAGTGGAGAGATAGACTTTCCAATAACTTCTGAAGTCCCTGATCTTTTAGTTGACAGATCAAATTTATTAGGATGGGCATCTTACTTTGGAGCAAAGAATTGTGTTATTCACTTGATTGAAAAAACAGAATCATCATTAAATTGTGATGCTTTAAAGCGTGATCCCATTCATTTTGCCGTTGCCGCAGGACAACTCGAATTAGTGACATTCCTTTGCGAAACACTTAATCAAACATTCAATGAAGACAAAGCCGGATGGACACCATTACATTATGCTGCAACGTTCGGCCGTGTAAAAGTCGCCCAATATTTAATTGAACACGGAGCAAACGTCAACAAAAAGGAATTACTTGGCAACCTTCCTATCCATTTCGCATCTCTTAATGGATGCTTTAAAGTTCTCCAAGAATTAGTTTCACATCAATGTGATATTGATTCTAAAAATACTCTCGGAATTACACCATTCTTATACGCTGTTAGATATGGACATGTTGATATTGCTAAATTCTTAAAAGAACATGGCGCAAATCACACAAAAGTAGCTAAAAACGGACAAAACGCTCTTCACTTTGCTGCCCAATCCCGTTCAAAGAAGATGATCAAATACATATACGAGTTTGGAATGAACGTCAATTCCTTTACAGAAATTCAACGTACACCGATGCATTATGCCGCTGTTAGAGGTTTCGTTGATGGAATTAAATTCCTCTACAACAAAGAAGGAGATTATTCTATTTCTGATGTTAATGGTATTTTGCCAATCCATTTGGCTGCATCTGATGGCGGAATAGCTGTCCTCAAGATGCTTAAGCAGTTGGGTGCTGATATTACGGCGCAAGACAAATTTGGAATGAACGCACTGCATTACGCAGCTCAGGCTGGTGATGTTGAATGCGTAAAATACTTATTAAATTATATCGACGTAGCCTCAATGACAGTTCGCGGTTGGACAGCATTACAATATGCAGCATCTAACAACAACAAGAATTGCTGCACAGTTTTACTTGAAAAAGGAGCTTTAATAGATGAAAAGAACATTTACGGACGCGATGCAATTATGATTGCCAATGAAAACAGATTTACGGATTTGGCTGAATATCTAAGTCAAAGTCACAATAAGAGCACCAGTCATTCATTAAGAAATTAATTTTTTTGGAAATTTTTATTTTCAAATTTTTGTTTTATGGCTACAAAAGTATTTCTATAAAGAAGAATTTTTTATTTGTTTATTATATAATGAATAGATGTCATTTTATTTGATGATTCGAAAAATATTGTTGAGTAATGCTTCAATTTTTGAGATTTATCATGTCTCACCTTATGAGATCAGAATTTTGTTGAGATCATCCAACTGTGGTAGAAAAAGAATATGTAAAATTAACAATAGCATTGAAATAATAGGAAATTAAGGCTGCTCTCTTGCAAATTCTAATGGTTGGGTGCTAATCTTAAACAGAGATTGAATACAATCAATAAAGGCTTGAGATGAAATAAACGGAAGAAAAAAGTTGAATAGGTTAATTATCGCTCAAGAATGTGTGAGCCGACTAGGAAAGGAGTGAAATAAGAGCGTTCCGATTGATAAAGTAGGAAAACGAAATTATGATCGGAAAAGAAGATTAATTTCCAATGCTTACTAGGATAATCGAATGAATAAGGAGAGGAAGAAGAGAGTAATAGAAGATAAAAAATATATTCGCCATAAAAAAATATTGTTATAGACCGAAAATAGATTTTTTCGGTTTTCTCTTCAAATAATTGAAAGAATGATACTATTATAGGTTTATTATATTATATAGCATATAATCATGCTATAGCCGAAAATTATAAGTTTTGAGAAGATTGAATATAACACAAATAAATTTGAATGTAAGTTAAATTGCTTGTTGTTTTTAATATCTATTTAATGAGAAATCCAATATTGCAAAATTCAAATTGAATGATTGAAAGAACAGAAAAAGTCATTCTTTTCAATTTCGAATATGTTTCATTGTATTTATAATTATATGGCAAATAAGATATTTAAACTTGATTTTTGAAGGAAAATTCACAAAATTGAATAAATTCAAATAATTTTTATTCAAAAATAAACTAGTTATTTGAGTTTAATACTAATTTTCTATTCAAACTACAAAGTTTGTAATTTAAAATATTTTGTGAGATCAGATTGAATTAATTCAAGGTTCTTTTTCAATTAATATTAATGACCATATTACGCATTTTCGAACATTCTAAACCAAATATATAAAAATGGGAGACGAATGTTAAATTTGCTAGACATGGGGGAGTTGTCTGCAAAGTTTTAGCTCTTATCTCTAACAAAAAATTAATTTTTAAAAAAATGACCGAATACGTTTCACAGCGAGAAAAAAATAAAAGGCAAGATAGAATTTTCTAGACATAAAGAAGTTGTTTACCGAGTTTTAGCTCTTATCTCTAACAAAAAATTAATTTTTAAAAAAATGACCGAATACGTTTCACAGCGAGAAAAAAATAAAAGGCAAGATAGAATTTTCTAGACATAAAGAAGTTGTTTACCGAGTTTTAGCTCTTATCTCTAACAAAAAATTAATTTTTAAAAAAATGACCGAATACGTTTCACAGCGAGAAAAAAATAAAAGGCAAGATAGAATTTTCTAGACATAAAGAAGTTGTTTACCGAGTTTTAGCTCTTATCTCTAACAAAAAATTAATTTTTAAAAAAATGACCGAATACGTTTCACAGCGAGAAAAAAATAAAAGGCAAGATAGAATTTTCTAGACATAAAGAAGTTGTCTACCAAGTGTCAGCTGTTACTTCTTCTCAATACTGATATAAAATAAAAGTCTTTTTTATTTATTTAACCTTTATTGTTTCATTAAACTTCATTTATTTTATATTATAGTTTTATTCTTTTAGCTACTTGTAAAATAATCTAATTTTATATCATCATTTTACCGGATTATTCTTCAGTACATCGATTGTGTATCTAAAATAATATCATTATCCTTATTCTGTTTTTTCCAAAATTCTTTTAAATATCTTTTTTGGTTAGATTACTTTATACTTTTTACTTTTATTTTTTAATTTCAAAAAAAATTTGGTGATTGTTCTATTCTGTTACAATGTGCATTATCATATTCTAATGAATTATTCATTACATACATTTAAAAAAACTTGTTAAAAATGAAATTAAAAAATTATGTTTATTATTACGCTGTGAATGTGTCAACAGCGGTCATGCCTGTATCTGTATCCCATATTTGCCACAACCTTTCTGTATCTGCATTTGTGTATTTCGGTTTCAGCTGATACATTTGATTTGGCGTGTAATTTGTTCCAGTTAATGGATTAATTGGGAGATCTTCATGCGATGTGTTATTATTGTACTCCCAAATAAAGGCAGGAATAGCCTGAATGCTTTGGCAGCGCTCCAATGTCGGCCAGAATCTCTCAATCTTCCCATTTTGGTAGGGAGAATGAGAGTCTGTATGCCGCCATTGGACGCCCCAAAGATCAAGTAGATCTTGAAAGGCGCCCCTATTTTCTGAACCGTTGTCGGTCCAGAAACAATAAGGGGCGCCAAATTCAATGAAGGCGGAAGCCGCAACGTTCGCTGTCGTAGCTGCCAGCATATCTTGTATTTGTATACACGCTAGGACTTTGCGGCTAAAATCGTCGATTATGCCATAAATATACTGGCCACGAACACCCCTAAAATAATGAACATCTGCGTGCCAGATAAGATTGGGTAAAAGCGCCCAATATCTTACTGCTGTTTCTGGCCCGGCATGCTCTAATTGCGTCTTGGTTAAATGACTTTCTTTGAAGTATCTGCAGTTAGTATACATATCATGTGTACGGTGGCACTGCGCGTCACCTTACCCCTGATATGTGAATTTGACACTTTACGAAACCGTTAACGTATATTTTACAACACAAACGACAACACTAACTTAACCTTAAATATTTACAAAACCACCACCCACTTCACCTCACTAATGAAAAAATAAACGTTTTCACAAACGACTTCACTACTGTAAAAATAAACGTTCTCACTTACAAAAGTATTGCAACTCTTCCCATTGCTGTGCTTCACACAATAGTTCATATTCTTCAGTATCGCTGCTGTCACTCCAATCGTCAGAGTCAAAATCACTGTCAAAATAAATGTTAGTAAGTTTTGACAAAGCTAATGAAACACGTTTACCGTTTGTATCTATTGCTTTTATATATCTCCCATTATGTTTGTTGTCATAAACGCTCAAACTAACTTTACCCTTTCTCCCTCGTATCTGATAGAATGTATTTTCACGAGGAACGAAGAACAAATTCTTGAACTCATGACCGTTGTAGTTTGTTATCTCAATAGTTTTCGTCATTTACATAAAAATAAAATAAAAAATAAATGATATCACCACCCTCACACGTATGAAAACATAGCGCAAAAATAAATTTAGGTGAAGCGGTGAGATCTCACCTCTTTTTTCACCTGTTTTTTCACCCTGTTGAATTCATTGCTTTATAACTCTCTTCCTTGGTTTCTTTTTAGTTGCTTTCTTCACGTCTGTCTCCAACTTGACTGTCTTTCTTCTTCGGCCGTAATGATACCAGTTACTTCCACCAGTCAATGGGTTAAATGGTCTTTCATAAGGGTTTCCATACATTCCATAGGGACCATACGGAAGAACTACTGATGGAGGAAGAGTTCCATCGACTCTATTTAAATGCATTGTTTCACCTTTCATCTGGTCATTAAAGTCTTTTGCGTGTTTTGCAAACTCGTCGTCCTTTCCTAAAGCATTTTCTGACCAGTCGCAACCAAATTGATGCTTTATTTATGAGCCCTATTTTATTTAATCTTAACTTCTTTGCAACCCAGCCTCCAATCTTCCCTTTATTTGCATCTAATGTCTTTGAAACCCTTCCTCCACCATTTTATTTACTGCGTCATAAGCTCCAAGTGCTTTTGCTCCAAATGCTAATGCTTTTGTTCCCATTGCGCCTAAAGCTGCCAAAGCTACCATTTACACCATATTAAAATCATCTCTCTTCAATATTAATCTCATAAAAGTTCTCGTTACTGGAGAAAGTCAATGAAACATAAGCGTTCTCACGGGCTTCGCCCTCACCGCTTTGCGGTCTATCTAACTTATTTCTTATATCATCTATACGCTTCAAAATGTCTGAACAATTGCTAACATCTTCTACAACAGTTATTTCATCATGAATGACCTTCAAGACAAGCTCATTTAATATGCAATTAAAATCATTCAATAATGAGTCCATCCTTTCCATCTTTAGGTAGCACAACATCTTTCATTGAAGAAGGTTCGACAAGTCTTATGTTAAACTTACTGACAAAGTTTTGTTATACTATAATGCTTCGGTGGCGAATACATGTAGTTTGAAAACATAATATAGATTCTTCAGCAAATTCACTTATACTGGATTTTATAACAATGTTCTCACGAGACCAAATACCACCAATTGACAATCTTGTAAGCAATCCTGCTGAACCTTCAACTGTAAACGTCGATGGTAACATTCCACGAAGGTCATCTATTGACATCTTTGAGTCACTGAATTTAAAGATTTTCTTAAAGCAATCGTCATTATCTAACCATGCAATAGCTTTGAAGTTTTTCATTCGAATATACATCTGCTTCATTAAATGTAAAACCTGACTTCTTTGCAGAGATGACTTTAAAATCTATTGAGTTTTGTTTCAAAATTATATGCTATGCTAACTTCTGAAGGTAATGGATGTCCTTCCACAGTCAGTTGTTCTCTCACTACCATTTGAAGCTTTGTGTTAAAAACTTTCATGTCATCTCCTGTATCTAAGTTCACATACACAGCAACAGGGAAACTATCTTGCTTCTTTGTTTCATCATATATATCTCAAAACATTAAAGTTCTTCAATAATATTGTTCTTCCTGCTGGAATACTTCGAACCTGTCTGATTTCAATAGCTTTCTCACCTCCTACATACTCTACCCAGTGTCTTGGATATTCATAAGTATACTGACTTTCTTGAATTTTGGTAGGTTTCATCATAACGTGTTCATAGTATATTCTTTATACTCTTGTCAGTTAGACTCGGTGCTATGGTTCTGAATATTTCTGACTTGCATTTTTAATGGAGATAAAATGAAGCATTTAA